CTAACTGTACCCTCGTCTAAGATTACTCACGCCTCGCCCCCGCGCTTCCACAGTGTGTAATAATTGTTCTTCGCGTTAGCAATTAGTGAACCGCGCGTCTCGTTCACGATTGTTTCATCGTCTGCCATTATCCGCCGGGAAAGCCACACTTCGGCAACTTACACCGTGTGATCGTGCATGAAAATGCTCGTCCATGTTCACAAGATGCGTTTCATCGTCATTACTGTTATCTTTATTATTCGTATAGTATCATCTTCGCACAGTTTGAGAAATCTAATTATTACAATATTGTCTTAACGCTCGGTCGATTACAGTTGTAGCGTTTCATGGCACGAGGATGTGCTAGATACATTCCAGAAATGTCGAAGTTGGATATAAAAAAGGCGTTGTTACTAGCACGCGTAACTTATTATATAAAATCTTATCACGGTGTGTGTTATGAGTGAAAACGGGATTTCTCTCGTTGCTTCCCACGAGATGTGGCGTTCCTCCCCGAACATCGATATTCCGCGCTGCACTCGCGCTGCCTCTGATTGCGCTCATCTCGTCGGGCTTTAATTGATACATCGGGGTCGAGTAGTCGAGCGCAACCGGGTCATTCTTAACACGCGGTATATGAGAACCGGCATCGCGTAATAGGTGGGCAGTACTTCCCTTATATAAAACAGGAAACAAGAATCCATAGATGAATCCGTGTAAACGGCGATATTTATGAGCGCCGCTTGATTGCTCGCGTTTCGATTCCGCTATCGATAATCGCACCGATACACTTACGCCTACCAATTAGCGGGCGAGGTCTAATTATCCGCACGAACGGCGTTGCTTCTTGCTGTCGCCGTTGCGCGCCGCAAGAGCTGCACAGCCAATTCCTTCCGTCTCGGAAAAATCGAGCGCACGTGTACTTTACTTTTTGTTGCATTTCTTCAATTATACGGACTCTTTAGATGTAACTCCTTTTGTCCAACTGTTCTTTACTTTCTCACTCAGCGGTGAGCCGTAGTAGCATTAATAGATGCGATGGTAGGAAAAGGTGAAGGGGAGACGAGAGCTCGTCTTCACTCCTCGTGAAAGCAATTAAGAAAGAGTCCAAGGAAAAAAAAAATAGAAAAAGTTCGAAATGAAAAACGAAGACGAGGACGACGAGGACACGGAGCGGTCGGTGTTCTTCGTGGGAGAAAAGTATGGGACACACGCGTGTATGTACACATGCGTCTCGCATGCACCAACACGTACACGCGTGTACACACGACTGCTTCGACGGCATGTGAAATATAACTCAGATTTTTCTTCTAGCTACATGGAGAGCCTCACATCTCCTCTCTCGGTGCTTCTTCCTTCTTCCTCCTTCTCTCTCGATATTGCAACGAATACTCGTTCGCGTAAAAACGCGTCATTAATTTTAATATATCAAAAGCTTAATTTGTTTAGTTCAGTTTTGATTTAATTTTATTTATTCAAGTTCTTGAGATTATATCGTAAATATTACATATAAATCAATAATAATAATCAATTTTTTAAGTAACGGTAATAAATACTACCGTATTTACTTGCATCCATCAACATATTCTTATTAAATATTTATATGAATTACCGTTATCACGTGTAATTATATATGTACATTTTATCACATTTTTCATATCGTTACTTCATTACTTCCCCTCTGCTAACTCTTGCAACGTTCCTTCCGGTATTCATGTGAGCGCGCGGCTTCGAAAGACGAAGCGTGTACGCACCTATCCGCCTACGTCTTCTCTTTCCTCTTCCTGTGTGCGGTTTTCCTCCTTTTCCTTTTTATTTATTCCTACAAGTACAGCGAACGCCCTCAAAGGCGTCAGCAAACGACCGCAAAACTTCCTTTCATCGACGGCATGAAACACAATGTGTCGATTACTGACGATGGAATCGTGAAACCGCTCGTAAACGCAAAATCGTCCGAAATGCGCAACGATATAAAATTTGCATCAAACACGAAGCATAAAAATTTGATGAACCGAGCATCGAGGTGTTCGTAGTGGCGAGCTCGTCGGTTTTGTATTTTTTTCCCATTAACAGGCAAAATGATATGGCCATGTTGTCGTTAGCGACCATAAGTGATGCGTTTAACGATTAAAGATTACAGCATATACGTTCAATGAAGAGACATATTTCCCTTAATCAAGTATGACTGGTGCATTAAAGCTCGATTAAAAAAAGTAAATTATGCAATTGAGTATCACAGCAAAGTGCGCATGCAATTTCTTGAATAACAATTTTTAAAAAATTAATTGCTGGTTAATGGTTAATAATTATCCCATTTTATTAAATATCTATTGCAAATTTCTATATTTTTACTTAATTTTATGTCAGCAAATATTGATATTATTGGTGCATAATTATCATTATTTTAATACAACATATTTTTAGATAGATTGCATGTCTTTTGACATTTCATAAAATAGGTTGCTGTAGAAGATATTAAGAATTTAAATTTTGATCTGTGCCATACGTATCAGAATTTGTGCATGCAACGCGTACATTATACTGCGACAGTGACGAATAGCGAAAGATTGGCTATCATGACGTCAAAACTTTATCCATAAATTTTGATGCGCCTGGTTATTAGAAAGTCTGCACCATCATGTACTATAGATGCGATATATCTTGCATTTCATTATTTTAATTTAAACGACAAAACTGGTAAAAGTTTTATTTAGAGAATTACTGCACTTGTTGAACAAATCGAAATTGAACGAGCAATATAGAATCTTCTTATTTATTCAACAACTAGGTTAAAATGACACAGATCTACTTTTTAAAATAAGACGTGTAACAAATATTTGAATACCCAGTTAAAGCAATCTAGTTTATTCAGCAGCAAATAAAACTCTCCGCCGCTAATTAGCGGATACGATAGTTTTCGATTAAATTATTCTGGTCAGAAAGCTGCTGTCTTACTAAATAATCAATAGTTTCCTAGAGGGGATCAAAGGTGTTAACTTTTAGACTCGACTAACTTGCCAACGGATCTGCACGACTCAAGTAAATCCCATGTGACGCAGAACAACCGCCATAGAGGTGGAAAGCATAAAGTTCTCTCATGGGACAGAAAGCTTCTAGAGCTTTAACAATAAAACACAGTGATACGCACATCAATTGGTGCTTCTCTTTGATTATATCTAAAAAAATACATAAATGTAAAAAAGGTATCAAAAAGAATGTTCTTTCTGTTAATTATTAAACTTTCTAGCAAATAAATATTATAAAAATATTATAACAAAAAAATTATTTTATTTTCAATAATACGCTATAATTTGGAAAAAATTTGTAGATTATTTTTTAATAGTGATATTTTGGTTTCCTATTTTCTACTTTATGTATAAATATATATTAATAAAATTATGTAATGCACAAATACGAAATTACGCATAAGCATCTTATAAAAGTATCAATTATCTTATCAAAAATTATACAAACGTTTCATTAAGTATTTTATAGAAAATTTTTTGACAATTTTCTTTTTACAAACATTTTTTATGAGATATTAATTTTGTCGCGTTTGAATTTTTTAAGATAAATTTAATATAAGGAGCTAGAATATACATATTTGCGAGATACTCTATATCTTTAAGCGCGCCGTTAGAACAAACCATAAAAGCTAATCTCAGAATTTTGTAGAGACAAGAACAATCAGGAGATATTAATGTTAGATGTAGAATCATAAGATCACCCGAAGGTGAGCTTCGTCGACTCATTTTCTCGACCATTTTCCTTATCATTTTTATTTAATCATAACTGCTACGTCGGAGGCGTCTGCGATGACCGCAAACTGCTTTCCATCGGCCAGTAAGATTCGCGAATCGTCAAGTATGATTGCGCCTTGTTCGCAATCTTGATTCTGTTTACGAGTAAGGAATGCGAGATGTTATTTTGAAAAGAAAGCGAAAATAATTGTAATACACATCGCGATTTTGCGAGGCGCATATAAAATGTAGAAATATTATTCACCGTACATTGCTTTTCCTGTACAATTCCTGATGTAGTATTAAAAAATGATATTAATGAAGGATAATGATGAACGGTAATGTACTCACGTCTGCAAACACAAACACACGGAAAAGATATGTCGTTGCAAGATGAGAGCAAATGAAGGATTTAGTAGATTATTTTGTTCTTATAACAAAATTATTTACACAATGTATGGATAATTAACTACTAATGTCTTTCGCAACGCAGAATTAAACTTGTTTTGCCGGAGAAGACGCGTACAAATCGACACGCAAACCGGTGAGAAAATAACAACTTCACGTGTTAGAAATGATCGTCGACACGAAACAAGTGACTTCGTTTATGCGTGGAAAAACAACGTTCACGCAACGGCAACTGAAATGATAGACGGGAGAAGCGAGCGTTTTCTTACAATTAGATTTTGTAAACGCTATACCGAAATAAACGGAATTGTTTATTACGTCACCTTATTTGTTAAAAACGCAATTATACATTATAGACAAACTTTTAAATTAAATTATTATACATTCTTATATGTATGCATATGCGCACATTAATTTAATTTGAATGATAACGAAAATCTGGGAGCATTGTTATTGATGTTCTGTATGAATATCGATTTCATGATATGTTTAAAATAATATCCGCATATTTACACCAGTAAGAGAATAATAAAGAACAAGCTTCTCGATTTCAGCCTTGGCTGACGACTGCGGTAATTATTACCATACGCGGTATTCTCACCACTGAAATCCCATCGTCTTTAGAAATGGTTGGCCACAGGTATTAGCTTACGTCGACGAGGACTCGGAAGGTCGCGGTCTGCGAATAGATTTTTTTTTTTTCCATTACCGAACCTGTGCGAAATTTTTTTACAATGGCATGATAAAATATAAAATATAAAATGTTAAATTAAAATTATATTATAAAATATAAGAGCTATAAAATTCGTATAGTCAAATTTGCATCATAATATATTTTTTATTGGAATTTAATCCAACAAATAATTGTTTCAGACCGCCCTGCACACCGGAGTTGGCGCACAACAGCAGTTATTGGAACCTAGAATGGCGCAATTAGAGACGTTGGAAGCTAAGGTAAGAAAAAACACTTCTTATTTTTCGATTTCCCGAAAAAAAAATCTTTAAAACCTGACGAACGTACTGAAACTAGCGAGATTCAAATCGTGTGAAATGGTGAGAATACATGCAATAAGAAATCATCTCGCATTAGCGTGGTCCTCTCTCGATTTTCGAAACCCTCCTTTTTTTTTCTTCTTGAGCCTACCGACGAAGCCACTGCCGTATGGGAGCTGTTTTTTTAGAGCTGCCTGGAAGAAACCGAAGGCGATGTTTCGCGGTTATTGGCAAGTCGGCGTTATAGCCCGCCAGCTTCTTAAGCCTGTCCGGCCGGTGATTTATATGCAGATGCGTGAACCGAACCCCGTTTCGTCCGGAGGTCCTCGGACTCGGGTTCGGAGACGGGAAGAGAAAGGGTGAGGTAAGGGACCACAGGTCCCTGTGCGCTGTCGGTGCTATTAAAACTGCCCTGGCGCTCGCGCGCGGATGACCAGTGGCGCAGCATCTGTAAGAACGCTCCGGTTTTTTATCGGAACAGAACGGCGATCAGAAGTGGGCTCGCGAGCTCGTTTTTCGACAACGACGCTTTTACCTTTTTTGCATCGTTTAAGTCGTCGGATTCCTCCGTGCTTGATTGCTGGGAAGAGGAGGCTGAAATTGAAAATTATACGGGCTGCGCGCAGCACCATCACTTGCCTCTCTAGACTTCCACGCGTTTTTCATGAACTATTAAAGCAGCGTCTTGCATAAAATGTAGGAAATTTTCTTCATTAGCTTTGCTAACATCACGGTGGAATAAAAGTACAATCTCCATAAATTTGTTTAAAGCGTACATATAAAAGAGGAAATATGCCAATTACGGAAAATGTTACTTTATGAAATTATTTCAGATCCTAAATATATGTTTCAAATTTTGTCGATACCATACATTTAACTTCGTGCTACTTTTTGTTGAATGACATAAATCAATATTTAAAACTTCATATTTATTTGTATATTGTTCATAAATATATCCTTCATAAATTATTATATTTGCAAATGATAAAAAATAAGTCTTATCCAACAATACTTACAATAAATCAGAGTTGTCACTGACAAGCAAATATTTGACCAAAATAAAATCATACATCGACACAACCAATTTATCTGGCGTGCACGATTGCTACGAGCACGGAGATTATCGATTGCGTTTCTGCTTAATAGCAGCGTTGCGATGACGAAGTACTGTAGTTTGCTAATAAATGGCCGCGCTACTTGTAGTTAAATGCAGTCTTAATTACTCCTTCGAGAAAGATCCTTGAAACCACACCCCGATCGCTGCCGGGTATTGCAGTGTAGCTGAAATAATACAGCGCGCTAATTAGCATAAGCACAATCGCTTTCATCGTGTAATAGAACCTAATGCGACGTTATCAATCGAGCTCTAGCAAGTATAAATTGCATCGAGCATTTTAATTTACCGTTTTATTAAGTAACAATAATATCATTAAATATGGAGTGTAAAACAACAAATTATTAATTTAAAATTTTGCTTGTTAGTACTTCATATTTATTTAGCTATATTTAAGCTCAAAACAAGTAATTTTTCATTTTTTACATATTTCAATTGCCGTAAATTTTTAAAGCAAATTGAAAGAACTTAAATTATAAAGATTTTTAAATAAAATTATAAAAATAGATAGATTTAAAAAAGTAAAGAAATTTGAAGAAAAATGATCAAAAAGTTCAAAGAAAATTGTGCAGATAAATATAAGAATTTGCGAAAAAGAGAGATTTATCTCTTCTTTTTATATTTATACAAAAATTCCAATGTGTTAGCTAAAAATGTCTAAAGAAAAGAAAGAAGCAAATATTAGAAAGAACATAGCTAGTATTTATCATCATATATTTACTTTTGTTTACACATTTCTCTGTTTGATTAGACACAGTTAATATTTACTTGTGTCGGAAGATCGGGTTTCCGACGGAAAGGAGATGTAAATGCGTACTTATCTCAGCGAGGAGGCAAGACTTCTTCAGTCCGGATAGCACACCTACTCTACTCTGTTCTGATTTGTAATTCTGCCGCATCTACTTTAGAATCTTATTCCAATACTTGGGCACTTTTATTATACTCTCTCTTTCTTCAACTCGTCTTTACCCTACTTTGACTCGCAGCGATGGCGAGTCTCCATTTACATCCAGTACACTCTCGCTCACTTCCATTCGTATTATCGAATTATATTTTGATAAACGCATATCTGCCGGTCATTATTTATCATTCGTTTGCTAAACTCTTCTTCTCTCGATGAGTGGATCTATCGACTAAACAACGAGTACAGACCACACCATCGTGGCATCCGTCGAATGATAATGCACGAATCTATATATTTATATCGATACGACACACACACGCCTTGATTCGCTTTAGATTAGTACAAGTTTATGTTTTGGTTTATGCCGAATTTATCTTCCATGATGTATATATAAAATTCGATATCGACGCAACATGAATTTTACATTGCGGAAAATCGTATCGTTACTGGCATTCACGGCGACCATTATGCCGCAATTCAATGCTTCCGGAGATATAGTATTGTTGTTTTTTTTCTTATCGCAATGGAAGACGTAGACGACAATATAATGCGATGGAATACAATAGAAAAGAGTAGGTATAGCGTTTCCGGAGGTTAAAGTTAAAAGGAGAAAAAAATTCAATATTTATTATTGCAATGTCCAAAATGGCACAAAAATCGTGATAAAATTATGATTAAAAAATGTATAACTAACTTTTTCTTATTTGCAATAACGCTTTTGATGAAAAATGCTACCGATAAGATATTATAGAACTGGAAAAACTTGGAACCTGAGACCATTTTTGTCTGCCTGCTGAAAACGGAGAATTCTTATAGAATTTTGTTTAAAAAATTTCTGTTTAAAGGTTTTTTATCCGACTAATTTATTTAAAAAATTTTTTATAGTTTCTTAAAATACCTGCAAAATTGTAGAATTTTTAAAAAATTTTTTCCAAATTTTAAGTAAACACTTCATATAATCATTGCAGATGAAGATCATTTTTCATTAGAGTGCATTTGTTTCGTAAAGTAAACGAATTTACATTTCAGAGAACGAAAGCGCTTTCAAAAAGCTTTCTTTTTTATTTTCTTTATTTTCAATATAAAATTCGTCGCGATATTCATGCTATTTCACACTCAAATGGGTCTTTACAATATCGCATTTTGCTTTCACGAAACGAGCGCGACGAGGAAAGAAAAGGTAAGGGGGCAGAAGTACCGCGTGCGCGAATCTCAATATGAATAATGAAAAAGGATGTCGGCTCGAAAAGGTAGCATCAACGTCGGGTGAAAAGCATCCTTGCTCAGGAGTCGAAGATCCTCTTAAGACGGTTGATCCTTGCCGGGGTAAAAGAAAATCTCTTATCTGAGCTTTCGTACGCAACAGAAACGTCTTAAGGATTCTACTCCAATTTTATTTAAGTGAACGACGCGATTGCTTATCCGAGAAATTTAGAGAAAGGGAAACTTTAACTTGTATAACATTTTCAAACATTTCTTGAAAAAATAATACACAAGAAGAAAAAATAAATAATAATAAAAAATTAAAAAAATAAAAATGTGTTGCATAAAAATTAATTAAAATTTTCAAACAAGAAATAGATATATCAATATTTTTTTAAAAATATTTCTATCAATCAAATCTGTAACTCAATTAGTTTCCAATGAACTAACATCTTTCTAACTAGTTAATTTCTACTCAAGAGTTGGAAGAACATATAGAAAATGTAATGATTATAATAGATGATATCATTATGTGTTAAGGTATTATTTAACATTTTGCGCAAATATCAAAAACATCTAGCTAGATAATAGAATACAAAATCCAGGTTTCTTACAATAAAAATAGTCTGACCGTATCATGAACAAGACGTTCTAACTGTCGGTGTTCGTTAATTTCGAAACCCTTCGCTCGTAAGAGAAGTTAGGTCATAATACGCCCTTGGGCTCAAGGGCCCAGACAGATCTGCCAAACAAGATTGCAGTCTCGGGAGTCACTGCCCTTAGATGTCTGAGCACCGCACTTTCGACCAAGTTCTCTATCCACCGCTTTGAAATTATCGCCCTTCGTTGAACTATTTATCGCTATTATTCATCAAAATAATATTAGAGACCTAAGTTTGTGTTTTGCAAGTAGAAATAAATAAAACAAAAAATTTTTATTCGACAGATTTGATAAAATAAAAACCAGAGTTAACAATTGATTTTTGATAGAAGAATATTGAAAGGAATTTATTTATCAATGTGATATTTCACGTAGAAACGATTCTTTTCTAAAAACAATGAAAAGCAACGAAATAAAAAAAAAAGATTTTTATTCCATAGTCCCGATAAAACTTCAATTTTATTCGGATAAACGTGATTGAAACGATTTGCTTGGAAATTAATTTTGTTCGAGAAAAAATTCTCACACAATGAGTATTTTTTTTCTCAAAAAACTACAAATCACGTTTGTAAAGATCGCCCCTGAGCATCACGTCGCATGTTATATGGGAAACGCCGATTCTCTTCCATGCAAATTCCGCAATAAATTTCCGCTTCCTGCGTGTTCGCCGTTTTTATCCCTTTGCCGCGTATGCTGCAGTTGCACGGCATTGAGAAATTTGTGGAATGTTCCGGGCGGTTTCGCAGCCCATCCGTTTCCACTTCTGCGCAAGCTGGAGAAGCGTTAAATGCAATCTGGCGCGGTAACACTCACGACCGTGTCTCTATTATCTTGTTATTTAGAGTGCCATTATGAGACCGCGTACATCTCGCTTTCGTCGATTGATATCATTTTGCGCGAGAGATATTCGAGAACAAATTGAACGGAAGCGCATTCTCCATATATACTAAAAATAGACATTTTGCAAAAAAATTATCCAAAGTCTGTGCAAGGTTTTTGCCGCTCAATCTTTTGCCTTCCTAAATTAATCAGTTTACCGTTTACTAAAAAATTATGAAATATAATAATTGCTATAAGTT